TGTATTGGGGACCCAAGAAGGGACCCTACTTTGGAGAACTACACACTTCGGCATGTCTTCGGCCTCCGGGTGGCGCTCGTGGCCCACCTGCAGCGCTCGGCGAATCATCGTGTTCTTGCCCATGAGAACCTGGGTTCTTCTTGAGGTTCAGGTCAATTTAGGGTATGCACATAATAAATACGCTTAATATATGTATGTATGTATGTATGTATGTATGTATGTATGTATATATATATATACATCCATACATATTTCTTTATAATTTTTGACATACTTATCTATGTACACACACATACACACGGGTTATCTACCCATTGCGGGGGGAAGGAGGGTTGGAACGAATGGTCCGTTTGGCAGGCCGCGGTGCGGCATCTGGGATCTAGAAACTCCTTACATCGAATCGAAGCTTATTCAGTAGGGGTACATACAGCGAACAGAATACCTTGTAAACTACCTCCTACTTACCCTATAGAATACCTTCTACAATACCTCGTGGAATAAGCGAAGGAATACTTTATAGATTACCTTTGTAGATACTTTATACTGGTCCCCCGATATAACGTACATATGCATTAGAGAATACTTTCTGGAATACCTTGTTGAATACCTTATAGACGACCGCCTGTCTATGACAACCCCCGTATACCTGACACATGCCATCTAGAATACCTGCACAATACCTATAGAATAATACCTTACAGGATTCCTTCTACAATCCCCTATAGAATGCCCTATAGATAAGGATTCTAAGTATGGAGTCGGAGCTCAAGATCTGAGCTCATGCTGTGTGATGGCAACAGGACAGAACAAGGATCCGGATCCGGAGGGGAGAGATGTCCAGATGACGGATGTTCTATGGAAAGCAGCAAAGGACAAAGTAGAAGCCGGATTGAAGAACTTGAAGCACAAGCAAGCATAAGCGGAAAAACTTCTGGAAAAGACATGCAAAGGAGATGTCTGTTTCGATGACCTGAGCCTCGATCTTCATGTATGTTCTATTTTTAAATTTGCTTATGTTTTCGATGTAAGCTGTATGTTACATATTTTTATATATCAATATACATATAAAATCCCTAAATGAGACTCCTGTGTGAACAGCAAAGCATGTGCTAAGGAAGGATATCAACGACCGTATAGAACCGCAAGAGAAGGATATGGAAAGCCTGTGGCGGTTCCAGGAGACACACGAAGACACCCCCCCGAAGCTCTTGTAGACCCCACGAAGCCCCGTAAGAAGAGCCCGCAAAACCTCCGCCGCCCCGCGACCCCTTCATTTTGTGTGGCAGGAGCTGCCGGGTGATGTCCCGAACCCGGGCGTGCAGGATGTGGACAAGGTTTTGGCAGAGTGCGGCAAGAATCTCAAAAATGTCATAGAGGACATTGCTGGAGTCGAGGGCGGGCTCAAGGCCAGGGAGGATCAGGTGAAAGCCATAAAGAAGGAAAAAAGAGAGTGGAGAGGAGTGACTCTGGATAAGGATTTTTCTCCGCCGCCTGTCTTGTCCTCAGCGAATCGCTCTGTATATAGGGACTGGACGGAGAATTTCCTGTGCAGCTGTCTGAAGAGGTGTGCAGATGTACATGGATCGACTTTATACTGAGACAATCAGTTTGTTGGGTTTGTGTGCAACCCTCTGGGCCCTAAGACGATGCAGGACCGGGATCGTGCTGTGTGGAAACGGTGCCAAACATGTGAGAACGTCGTCTGCTGTTACTTTGGCAATCTTTTCTTGTGTGCTGCTGTGTGGGACGGAAAGGTGATTTGAGTGCATGTGTGATGTGTGTGCATGTGTCTCTGGAGAGCTTTTATGTGGTCTCTCGAGATCGCACGAAAACACTGAGATTCTCACAGCGACATTCGAATTGCACAGCCATGGCGGGGGCGAAGATGGAGAAGATGCTCCGGCAGGAATGGAAGAAGTGGCATGCCGATGACGGGACATGTGTTTGTTATGGCGACGTCCTCAGTGCTTTGGTGACAGCAGCGCAGTGCCAGTACGACGAGAAGATGGACCCCATGGACACAACTTTCCAGTTTTTGGATGCCTGGCTGCACATACGTGCAGGCACTTCTGTTCTCTCCGAAAAGCACGCAGAAAAAGCTTCAACACTGTTGTGTAAAACCATTCTGTATAATCTTGTCGTATGTGTGTATGCGTCTGTGGATTTGCTTGCCGTACAGGATCGGATCTTTGCAAAGCAAACATAGCAGAACAACATGGAACTACAGCAATGGATGAAAGCTTTGTGCCAGATAAGTTGCCGCATGAAACTATACAGGGGCTCGTGCCTCTCAAAGGAGGTCATGGACAAGGATCCGGATCAGCACTCCGACTTGCTGGACCTGGAGCATAGCTTCTGCAATCAGCAGCAGGACCCCGCAGGACTTGCAGAGCCGGCGCCACGAAAACACGTACAGCAAGACGAGCCTTCAGCGGAAGCGATGAAGGATGCACCGGGCAAAAAGTGTGATAAGGCTCTGGACAAGTTCCCAGTGGACCAGTTTTCGGCGGCAGGACCCGTGAAAGTCGCCGAGACTCGCTGCTTTCAGAGCGACTTCCTCTGGGCGATACAGTTCGCTTCGCTGTCAAACCAACCTTCGACACGGCGAGGCTTGCCAGCAAGGCAAAGCAGACGCTCAAAGGCCGGGTCGAGCGACACGACACTTCCTGGCCGCTCGACACATACACCTTCTCGCACACGGCGTTGACGAGGTGCTGGTGCCCACGCCAGTTGGGCTCCGTGTCCCCGGCGAGGGTCGGTGCGCTGTTGTGCCCTAACACAACGGACCCCTCTCGAACCACCTAGGCGGTGATGTAGTCGGACGACCGCGACCCGGAATCGGCCAATGTAAGGGTCGAGGTTAACGGGGGATCGCGGCTAGTGAATGTGCTGGGGGCGTCGTGGAAGTTCCCACTTCCGCCGTTCAGGCATGGGCGGCCGGGTTCCTGGCGGCGCCCAAGGAGGACCAGGAAGCCGTCCAGCCCCTGTTCTGCGCGGCAAGCTCTGGAAGTCAAGTCCGGAGCTCTTTCGCACGGACTTGCGGGCCAGCTCTTCCAGCATCAGCATGCCTGTCTCCGAGGCTGCGTGGCGCAGGATCTTTCCTCTCCTGCCCCGCAACCTTCCCTACGACGCCAAACCCACCACGGGCGGCTCAGGAAAGTCCTTCCTCAGCTCACGGCATGCCTCAGCAATTTCAGAGCGCCCACCAGAACCCCACAAATCTTTCCTCTGCAGGTTTCGGGCCTGCAGAGTCAGCTCGACTAGCAGGGGCCATCTCAGGGGCGACAACCAGTCCGCCCTGCTCCAGTCCCGCAAGGAACTGAGGGGGAAACCTCAGTTTCTCAGTCCTCAAAGGCCTCGAATGGCCACTGTCAGACCTGGGAGGCTCCTCTGGTCGGAAGGCACTCTGGAGCAACGTCCTCGCCTTCCCCATCGTCCTCTTCGTCGTCCTATCCCACGGCGTCGTGAAAGAAATCCATGGATTATCCTGGACCACACCCTCCCCTAATATACTCATCGAGGGGGGGAGGCTACATATCCGGACCGCACCGCAACGGAGGACTTGCAAAAGCAATCTCGGACGACCCGCTGTTTTATCGGCTTCGCGAGTCTGAGCTCACCCAGTCCCTAAGCAGGCCGCGCTGACGGTCCAACCGCAGGCCTGCAACTCTCAAGAGCTACATTGGCCTACTGTCAGCCGTGCAAACTTGGCACAACGCACACACATGCCAGGGTTCAGACTATACACAGACACACATACAGAGTAGTCTTTTCAACTGGTCGATAAGAGTGTATATATATATATACACATACATGTGTGTGTATATATATACACACATACGTATACATATGTAGTATATCTCTACGATGGCAACGTAAAAAGGCGTAGCCCGGGAACCACGGCCTTTCCTCTCAGATCCATTCGGATGTCCTGCATCTGCTTTGAGGCCACGTGGTCGACACCCACCAACAATGCATTTGGAGTGTTCACGCAGAGGTCGATGAGCTTGTTGAAGTACCTGCGCACGATGGCACAGCGAAGAGCCGGGTGAAAAATCGGACCGTGGGCTGGAGCCCCGCTGTGGAACCGGAGAGTCCCCCTCTTGTGAAATCTGTGTGCCCTTTTGGTTGCAGTTGCGCTGGTGGCTCACGGCCACCCGTGTTTTGAAATTTTCTGTTGGTTGTCGGTTGCTCTGCGAGTTCTCATACCATTCTCCCCCAAAGCAATAGGATCGGAAGCTCGGATCCCAGCTGAAACCTCCTACGAGTCTGAGCGAGGGCGAGCACTTCTCCTTCTTCGCCAGTTTCTCCTTGCTCGGCATGGCAGCCACCGAGCCTGAAAACTCAAAGCGAGGAAGAGAGGAAGCTGCGCTCTCCAGTTTTCAGCCGGGCTCCTTGGCTCACAGCTCCGCCTCCTCCGCCGCGGTCCGGCTTGAGCTGAAACTCGCAAGCGAAGCGGGTGCGAACGGCGACTTTCAATGCACCTGGCCCCGTAAGTATAGCGGGGAAAGGATCGGCCGCCGTCTTTTGGGCGATCTCGCGCACGCATGCATGAACTGCGTGCATGCGTGAACCGTTCCGAAGGTTCAGATCACCAGCTCTGGAAGCAAGCTTCGATATGGGCTGCCATAAGAGGTGTCCTAGAAGAAAGCAGGCTCATGGCCCCGTGGCACAAAGGGAAAAGAGAGCAGTGAGCTGAACGAATTCTGGAACCAGTCCTGCCTCTAGGCAGTGGGGGTCCAGTCTTGCTAGCAGGAACCGGGAAAGGTGTACTGCCATGCCAGCAATTGCAGGGCTGCACCATGTGATTAAGGGTGGTGATCTTTCCTGACCTCTGCAGACAAGGGTTGCTGCTTAAGCTGGCAGCTAGAACGATACAGGTAAATGCGTTGGTCAGACGCCTTAGAAGGTTTCTGACATGGAAGCATCCCCGGCTGCAGCTGCGTCAGTGCGCATGGCAAGTGGTTTGGACTTGCTGGAAACAGAAGCAGTCACCACTTCTACAGCGTCACCTCCTGTAGTGAAGACGCCGCCTCCGCGGTGCAAAAGCAAGTTGTTGTCGCCCGGTGCAGCAACGCAGGCCGCCTTCTCCGGACCAATCAGAAGCCTCCAGACATCCTCGGCAGAGATGATCCGCCTGGGAGTGGGCAAAAGTGCTGCGAGGAGGCGAACCAAAAAAGGAGGAAAAGCGTCCCGAGCCTCAGCATCTTCTCGCCCGGGTCCTTCCATGAGGAGCGGGCTCTTCTGCACTGCTGTGGCTTTGGAGTCTTAGAACCCGGCCTGGAGCAGGAGGACCTTCCGGTTCTCAGCCTCAAGCAGGCGGAGGATGATCTCCCTTAACGAGAGCTCCTGCGCTGGGCTCCACAAGAACAGTCTGCTTCGCAGAAGAAGAGACAGGAAACAGCAGCTCCTTCTCGTACGCGACACTGGCCCCCAGGAAGTCACTTGCCTCGAACACCGGGAACATCTGCAGATGCAAGTGCCATCGTCTCCTCGTCGCCTTACACAGCCTGGAAAACGCTTGCTTTTTGATGCCGCGGTCCAGCGGCCCTCTACTAACCCAGATTCATGCTGCGATTCTGGAGGGAAAGGGCTATATGCCTTCACACCTGACACGGCTCCGCACGGGCATCCAAGGCTATGTGGTCTGATGTGTTAGTCAGCGAGCCGTACCTTTCCGTCACTCCTGCTGCGCCGAAGGAGTGGTGAGACAGAATAAACCTGAGAAAACTCGCCACGATTCGTGCGTCGCACAAATCGGCAAAGACACTGGGAAAGGCGTGCTTTGGCCTCATCATTTGCTTTTATCCTTCTTATCCTTCTTGGCAGCCTTTTCTTTCTTTTTCCGACGCTTCCTCTCGCGTGTGGACTCCGATTCGCTTTCATCCCGCACCTTTTCTCGCTCCTTTTCCTTTCGGTGCTTCTCCTTCCGCCTGTCATGCTTGTCGTGCTTATCCTTTTTCTTCTTGTCCATGCCCATTGGCATGGGCATGCCGGGCATCAGGTAAGGCTGCGGCAGCATGGTGAGGGGAAGCCCAGGTCGGTGTCCCGGCATCATTCCAGGCACCATGTGAGGTCCCCAGGGCATGGGATAAAAATACTGGGCCCCAGCATTCACATGGCTCGAGTGATTGGGAGGAGGAGCCTTCTTCGCTTTTGGCTCCGGCGGCTCCGAGCTCGACCTCGAGCTTCTCTTCTCTTTCTCAGCCTCCGCCTCCTTGGATTCCTCTGCCTCGCCGGCCTCGCCCTTGTCCTTAGATGCCTTGGGCTCTTTGGGCTCTTTGGGCTCTTTCTTCCTCGCCTTCAAGAGCTTTGGTTGCAGGCTCGCACTGCTGCTCCGGCTGCGGCTCCGCTTCTGCGTGTCCTGCGCCTGCGGCGCCTGCCCTGGTGCTTTCGCATCCTCTGGCACTGCACCCGAGCCCGCGTCCGCCGCCGCGGGCGCAGCGGCCTTCGGGGAGGGAGGCTGCGCTTCCGCCGGCGCTTCCGCTGGCGGCTTCGTGCTTGAGGTTGCACTAGGCCTGGCCTTGGTTGGAGGCTTTGCTTCCTTGGAGGGAGGGGGAGGCGGAGGAGGGGCATCGCTCTCAGCTTTCATGGCCTCCCAGGTTGCATTGAGACGAACGCCTCCTTGACGCCCACGCGACTCCTCGACGTCAAACGGGTCGAGCAGCTCGTTGAGCACGTGGAGCAGCGCTGCCGGTTGCAGACTATGCTCAGGACAGGACTGCAAGGAGTAGTCGGCTATGAAGCTGACGAGAGCTTTGGCCACGCCACAGCTGGCCATTGGCCAGCACCGAAGCTCCAGAAAGGAAAACTCGGAGTGCTCCGCCGAGTCCGCTAGCTGCGCTAGCTTCTCCTTCTCCTTGAGCTCCTTCTCAAGAGCGCGGCCGAGGTGTCGCCGGAGCTCCCCTTGGAAGCCCAGCGCTTTGGCCTTCTCCGCCGTCCCGCGCCACTGTTTGTCGTAGCGCCCGAGCCTTCCCTCCAGCCAGGCGAAGCACCGCTGCCTCGAAGCTTCCAAGGAGTCCTCACCCTCGCCGAAGAAGCGCTGGAGGAGCCGGTCCGAGATCTCTCTCAAGCTGGTCTCTTCGATGTTTTTGCTCGAGCCCAAGGCTCTTAGCACCAGGGCGAGCGCCATCAAGAACCGGACTTTTGCCTCGGTATGTGCCACCCATCGGTAGCAGGACCGGAGGTAAGACATGGCCTCGAGGGCTTTCAGGTGCTCCAAAATGCTTCGGCAGGCTTCCTCCGACAGCTCGAGCTCCGTGCTCGTCTCCAGATTCTCGGCCAGCCAAGCATTGAAGGCATCGGTAAGAGCTGCCATCTGTTTCTCTATCTCATCTTGCAAAGGCACAAAAGCTCGAACAGCCTTAGCACAAACTGCACAGGACAGCCTCTCCAAGTGTTCTCCAAGGCTGCGCACCAGCGAGCTCTCGGAGCTCTTGGACCAGACCCCACTGAGCTCTGAGAGCTCCGTCTGAAGGTACCTCCTGAGCTCACTGTCGGACTCCCTCTCAGCCTTTTCGGCCGTTCTTTTCCCTTCCTCCTTCGTCTCCTCCTCCTTCTCCTCCTTCTCCGCCTCCTCCTTGGCCTTCTCGTCCAGGCGCTGCAGCAGACGCAGTAGGCCCCTCTCTGCAGCTGCAGCCGCCCCGGCAGCCATGGACCAAAGCGGAGAGGGCAAAACCCCAAAACTCGGGAAGCTTCTTCTTGGAAGCTCTACTCTCTCCTAGTGACTAGTGTTCTCCTAGTGTCATATGAGTCTTGCCAGGGCTCTTGGATCTCTAGGTCTGGGACCCTTAAGTCAATTTCTGAGCAGCTTGGAGAGAGCGAGGACAGAGGTCACCGAAACCTCGTGCTCGTGAGCTCCAGGACTGAACCGGCTCGTCGCTTCAGGGGGTGCCTGGCCCTTCTTCGCAGGGTCCTGTGGTGCTTCGGCCATGAGGGTGTCTAGGAGGGATTGCTCCTGCGGCAGAGTGCGTGCGATGCAGCGAGAGATGGGCAGCAACTCGACCTGCAGCGTGGAAGGCGCTGCTGACGGTGCCTGCAGGATCTGTGCTTGCGCAAGCAGAAGCACGGGAGCTGTCTTGTCTGCAGCACGTGGCAGCTGCAACAGGCCTGCATCTGGGCTTGAGCGACTCTGTATCTTCTCAGAGCTTTGACCAGCACCTTTCGTGAGACTGGAAGCCACACATCAGCAGAATCCCTCCCCAGCAGAACCCGGAACAGAAACAAGCGCATGTCACGTGCTTGCTTAAGGGTCCATGTCACTGCATCAAGCATGACTCATCAAGTGGAGGAGAACTACAAGGGCAAGGGCCCCAAGACCCAAGACAATGGCAGCGCAGCGCACCTCGATGGGCGCAGCTGTGTTAAACTCAACAAGATCCTCGGAAGCATCCGGTGCCCCGTCTCGTGCATTGCTCTGCCTGCTGCGCCAACTTTCAGGTAGAATTGACAGAACTGTTTCTCCACAGGTCCCTTCGCCTTGCCGACTGCATGGCGAGATCCAGGTATGACAAGAGGTCCCTGTCAGGAAGGCCACAATTTCCTCAACCCATCTCTGCGTAGCACGAAGTGTGTGCAAGGGACGCAGCGGGCAAGTGAACATTCTTCGATCCCTACTTTTCCGACAGACAGGGTCTGCTTTCTACTCCCCGGCCTTCTGCTCAGGTTGCAGACCAAAGCACCTTTCTCGTCCTGGCATCGCAGCAATATCAGTAGCTTGACTACCTCACTGCGCGAAGCGGCGAAGATGAGAACAAGCACTGAGGAAAGGAGCAAATGGAACTAGCGGAACCTCGCTTGTTGAGCCTTCGGGTTTCCCGAGGCGCTCTATTCAAAGAAGGCAGAGTGCACAGCTGTGCGGTTCAAGACATCCACATTGTGTGAGCAGTCGCAGCAATCGCCAGGCACGACACTGGTGCATGCTTTCTCTGCTATTCTTCATCTTCATCTGCTCCTTTTTGTAGGTGGCAGGTTTCTCGGCCTGGTGTACATGGGCTGCGCATTGCTAGACCTCTCTCCGTTTGGTGCCAAGGTCGGCTTCTGTCTCCCGTGCCTGTGACGACCCGGGCAGTACCAGGCTGATCACGAGTTCATATGACTGATCACATGGCCATGGGGTTCTCTCTCTCCTACGTTCCAAAGCTGCTGGAAGCTACATTCTGGAGCTGTCTCGCAATGCGAAAAAGCGAGTCGGGAGAGTGACGCCGACTAAGCTCCCTTTCTTCTAGCTTTCCCTTCATGCTCTGCGCACAGCAACGTATAAGGGATGAACTCTTCGCGCTGACCAGCACCATCGGTTGTGCTTCTACTAAAGGATCATGTTGGACGTTGCCTGCGCATGTTCGTCACAACACAAAGCGGGTTGTGACATACCTTCGCGAATGCTCCACCAACTTGTATTGCTATTGCGGTTTCTACTTGATACAGTCGTGCTGTCCCGTTGTGTACAAGGGGGCTAGGCCGATGACAATGCTCCAGACCATCCATTCAATCACAACCTGTGCCGTGCACGCTAAATTGGCATCTCGTGGGTCCTCCACGATGGGGACGGAGCTGTGATGCGTTTTGGCAAAGAAGCACAGGAGCTCACTCAAAGGCTGCGTCTGGCCTGGTCTTCTTTGCATTTGCAGTCAGAGACTTGGCTGAGGTCGGCCGACTGAGCCACGGGCTGAGAACCCAGGGCAACGGGGCGTTGCCCGCCTGAGCTGTGCGAAAGCATCGGGGCGGCAGGACAGGGCAGGGCGGCTTTTGGGAAAGGCCTGGTCCTCCGCCTTGGGCTCCGCAGAAGGCCTCTCAACTCTGCACTGGAACCCGGAAGTGGCTCTCAATGGAGTACAAGTGCCCGAGGGTGCTGGCTGGTACGCTGAGGACTCGAACTTCCGCTGGGGGGGCGCGCTGCCTGGGCGAGGACGGGAAATTGAGGAGCCGTGAAGGGCAGGTCCCGCCGCAAAGCTGCGCGCCGCTGCCATCTCCCACCTCGGAATCCGAGGAGTCGACTCGAACACCAGAGACTCGCTGCCCGTGACCGGAGGCCGGCACTTTGAGGCACGCCAGCGGCATCAGCTCCTCGCCACGCAGCCGGCCAAGGAGGAAGGCTAAGCCTGGGAAGTTCACCAGAGACGAACTTTCGGCTAAGGCCCACATCGGTGTCTGTCTCTCGGATCGCTGCAGCAGGAGAGCGTGAGGTGAGCCATCACCGTCAACCGCACCGGGCTCACCTTCTCAGTTGCGGAGTCCCGACTTCCTAAACCCTGGCCCATTTTTTGGGGCTCCAGCCACAGGCAGCGCATCGCACTGCGGATATGCCAACCTCGAGGAGACAAATCCCGGCGAACAGCCGCGGGGCCCGGTGGTTTCTTTAACCGGCTCTTGGGCTCCGACAGCAGCTGCACTGCCTCTCTTAGCGCAGGTCATCTGATGTCTCTTAAAGCGGTCACTCTGAGGGCTCTGAGGGCAGGGCCTTCAGGAGGGTCGCGTCCGCATCATCGGCGCAGAGTATGGGCCTGCAGGCGAAGTGCAAAAACATGCCTCAAAGGGTCCCATGGCCTTCTACACTGCGCTACGCCTTGGCGGAGCACATGGCACACGATGGACCAACACGGGACCAATTGGCCCTTCCTGTTTGCAGAGCAGCATGGCAGAATGAAGAAGAATGAGTGAAGAGTGACGAGAATCGACGCTTTCCGAGGCTCGGACGACCAAGTCTAGGCGCGAGCTTGAAATCTTCTCCTGCTTAGAGAAACGCACCTCTAAGGGCTTGCCCTTGTCCCCTGCACTGGCCTCCGTCTGAGTCTGGGCCGCCTGGGCCTCCTTCACACTCTCCCAGCACGGATACGACTCGAACTCCCATAATTTTTCAGCTTCCAGAAAACCTGCTGCCTTGCCTTACCATCAGTGCTGCTGTTGCTTGCTTTTTGTGCTCATGCATGGGGCTGCTGATTAAGCAGTTCTCCTTCGGGCCAGACGCTTACTCAAAGCTTCCACCCCCGTCTCGTCTGTAAGCATACTTGTCTTCAGTATGGACTCAGAGTCAATGAACCCCTGGTTCGCGGCCTCTGCCATGCGCAGCTTCAGGCGATACGCTCGCCACTGCCTGAGACCATGGTTGCACATTTATTTCTTTTTGTGCACATCGCGTGTCGGCTCGGATCTCGGCTCCAGTGACCAGTCCAGCATCTCCTCCTCGGATTCCTCAGCGCATGTTTCCTGAATCTAAGTAGGGGGTGGGCGGCTTTAATCCCGCCTGTGCCTTCGGTGAGCAGGCAAGGGAGAGGAAGTCGGCTAACTCCCCTACCTGATTCAAGACACACTCGAGGCAGGTGCAACGTGGGGCAACAGGGATGGCGGGCTGTCACAGGCATTCCCATGGGCATCTTCTCCAAGTCCTTAATTAACTAACAGGGCTCAAGAACCCCTGGAAACTTCTCCTCCCGAGCAGCTCGCCGAAGGGATCAGGTGCGTCCCCCAGCCATCATCCGGCGAGGTCCATCTGCAGAGAGAGGAAGAAAAGAGAGAGAGAGAGAGAGAGAGAGAGAGAGCTCCCTGCGTGGCCGACAACCCCGGCCTTCGGACCGCTGGCGCCGCCTCCGCTTCGCCTTCCTCGGGCGCGGACCTGCCGCAGTGAGGCGCTGCCGGGCCTTTTTTTCCCTTCGACTCTCGGGGCCGGGCGAGTCCTCTGGCCCGGAGGACGCATCAATCTCACAGACCTGCGCCAGGTGGAAGACACCAAGTGCTCAGGCTCCAGATCTTCGAAGCTTCGGGGGTGTCATGGGTGCTACCGCAAAAAGCCTCTGCCAACACATCGGTAGGGAACGCTGCGGACACCTGGGCTCATCGAGGCACTGATGAGAACTGGCGCCAAGAGATGCGCTGACAGCTGAGCGAGGGACCACACCGGTGCACAGAGGCGCTCCCTCCTCCAAACCCACCTCCTCCAACAGGCTCTCCCGGCCCTGTCACGATAGAACATCCACACAGAGCAGTCCAGTGCCGGAGCTTTGTTGTGCTTGTGGCCTCGCGCCGGAGCATGTCACCAGGACCTGAGCCGAGAGTTGGTCTCAGGCTGCAGCTTGGAGCTTTCTGGAGCTCCGGCCACCGCCCTCTGGCAATGCTCCGCCTCGGCGACTCGGAGCAAGCGACGGGTTCAGTCTTCACAGAAGCAAGCAACGCGCACCTCTAGACCTCTTCGGTCGGAGCGAGGGCGCCGGGTGCTGCTCGCCTTTTCAGGCTCTCCTCTCTCGAAGCTTCTGAAGGAACTTTCCGAGTCTAGGCCCTCGGCTCAGGACAGCGGCCAGCACGCTCTGAAGAGGCAGCTTCACATCCACGGCCTCACGAGAAGTGACCAAAAGAGAACAGAGACAGTCCCACAAACCGAGGAGAAAGCTCACGTGGCTCTCGCGTGGCTCTCTCCCGGCTCCGGGCTTTCTGAGGCTGGCGCCAGCATGCGCACGCGCTCCGGGAGGACGTCTGTCACATGTATTGCCTGGCACGCGCTTCAAAGCGGAGCTGGAGACGAGGGCGCGGCATGTGCGGCCTGGGACTGTGGTGCTGTGTTGCACTGCTTTGTGCGTCTGTGCGTGGCTTCTTGCGCGCAAGTTCGAGGCGCTCGTCGACTCAGCTTCATCTTTTCCAAAGCAACATAAAGCAACTGTCAGCAGTGGCGATGCTCTCTCGTCGGCAACAGTGGCAACGAAACGGGGTGCTTTCCCGACGCCGATATGCGGAGACTCGCCCTCGAATTGTCGGAATTAGTCGATTAGTCCATGAATTCGATTTGGCGCAGACTGCGGACATCTTGCTGGTGCACCTGGCACCGGCAAGCAAGCCTTTTGGGCCCCAAGAGTTTATAGAATTTATAGCTTAACTAAAGACCGGGCCTGCCCCGTGCAGCCTGGACATGCAAGGCTCTAGTCTACTAGTTACTAGTGCAAAAACATCTGCAAAAAAGAAGAGATGGCCGTCGCCGTGCTGCGCTTTACTGCCGCACTTCATCTGGCGGGACGCTCTAGGCTTGAAACGGATGTCAAGGGACTTTTAGAATTGAAAAAGCTCCTGATTGAGCCTACGGAGGGATCCACCCATCCCCGTGCATAGGGCCCACGGCCCAGATTAGCCACTCGCCGCCAACCACTGGTGGAGAGGCGACGGCGCAGCCAGTCGGCGAGTCTAATCTGGTCACCATAGATCGCTATGAACCCAGTGTTGCCGACAAAGCAGATCACGAAGACACCTCTGTGCCTGAAAGCTCATTTGAATTCGAGTGCAGCCTGCAAGCTCAGCGTCACCTCAAGAGGGCTTCTCTCTCTCGCTCTCGCTCTCTATCTCAGCGGCACTCTTCAGCACTCTTGGGTCGCTGACTCCAGCCGTCTGCTTTGAAGACGCTTTGCTCGACCAGTCGGCTGTTACAGCCCTGGCCCCCCCCCCCCCCCCCCAGGGCTGAAGGCCCTCCGCTCTCCACTTCCCCAAAATCCCAATCCCAAAGCCTCGTGGTTTGCAGGCGGGAGGCTTCCGCTTCCGCCGCGCGGACCTCGACCAAAGCGTGGGTCGCTGGAGGCGGTAGGAGTCTCGCAAGCCACTCTCCGATGGCCTGCTTCCAGAAGCTCTTCTTCTGCTTCTTCCACTGGCGGCTTTGTGCCGGGCCACAGATATGACAAAAAGTACACCTTCGACTTGCACAAGCAGTCTGAGCATCTTCAAGGCATGGTGCGGCACCATGCAAAATGCATTCTGAGGAACTCATATCCGAAGCGGCATGAAGAACGGCAGCTGAAGTCGCAAGGCTTGCATAGACCTATGTAGTGCCTCATCATTTCGGACAAGAGCCAATCCATCTTGACAGGATCGAAAACTGCAGCACTTGAGCTCAAAGCTTGGCAGACCCAATCGAAGGAAAAGGCATTGGGTCCTTCCAGCGAGGGAAATCTCGCGATCCGTCTCGTGTGCACTGCTCCGTCCTCCAGCATAGCCTGTAACTCCAACACACACGGAGATTGTGAGGACGGAGATGCGGGCATGGAGACCTCGGAAAACGACAACATGCAGTATGTGGAGTGGTGCACACTGTCACGCGCGCGCGCGCGCACGCGACATGAAAGCCTATCATGGCAGCCTGGCCTCCGTGGGGCTTCGTGTGCTGGCAGATTCCATCCCATCCTCCTTGCCCTGGCTCATGACGAGCCCTTCGACCTTCGCGCGAACCGCAGGATGCTCATCTCTCCAATTCCATCCCAAAGAGGCCGGGCCTTCTCCAGACCGGGAGGGGGGCCCAAATGCAGTCCGCCTTCGAGGGGCCTTGGCGGAACTGGGTTTGCTCCCTTTTGAAAGCTCGCAAAAAGGGCAGAGAGAGCTGGGTTCCCCCAATACCTCCGGGTGAGGCTTCGGCTCGAGGCTGTACATCTCGGAAAAGGTGTGCGCCCGGCACCCGGCACCGTCTAGAGAGCCGAAAGGAGCCAAAAATGTGCAAACGTCTGCGACTCTGACTTTCTGGGTTCGTATGCGCTCATGCTTTTGCAGAGCAACATGCCAGTGGCCGCCATGAGGATCTGCCGCAAGGCGGATTGCGCCTTGCGCACCTGGATACTGCAGGGCTGCTTCCGAGTCACATCGCTGAGGTCAGCCGGCCTCCTCATTGCTGGTACCTCTGCGGAAAGCGGACACAGAGAGTCTTCCGGTCTTCCGGTGTCAGTAAAGGCGACAGGGCGCACCCATTTCAAAGGCCAGAACTGCGCATCCATCCAACGAGGCAATGAAGCCCTCGCGCCCCTTTTGCTTGAATCTTCTATTCTATTCCATGTCAGAGGGCTCCGAGCCATCTTCACGCATGCCATTTACTGCTGGTTCCAGAAGCAATCCGTTCCTGTGTTGAGGGACTGTCACCTTCTTTCAAAACGTATTAGCAAGTTGCCATGTCATTGCCGTACGTCGTTTCGCCGTTCGAGCTTGGACCGAACTCTGCTGCAAGCCCTTGCAAGTCGGATAAGGAAATCAGAGCGAAGTACAACGCACCTATGCAACTGCACAGTTTAATAACAAGCTGCAATCTGTCTCCAGGCTTGGCATCTTGCCAGCAGCGGATCCGAATTTTCCGTGGGCACGTTGCACATTGTCCGATGCGGTGTTGATGTACGGTTTCTTTGTCCACATATTTTCTGCGTGGGTGCCACTGCAAACGGTGAAATGGTTCAGCTTGACTGGTTGGTGAGACTTTCTAATTCATCCCAAACATGGATCGCGGACGTGATAGCATTCTCACGCTGGCAGCGGCGTTCTGTACAGAGAAGTCGTTGATCGCTCCGTAACAACGAGGTGCCTGCTTGCGACAGGACTCTGATGGAACTGTGCAGCTTTTCTCTCCCAGACCTCTGATCAGGAGAGATGCAGAGTCCCGTAATCTCGGGCCCTGGTACGCTTATGGCGGCAGTGACCTGGAGAAGAACCCCACGCTGCATCTTTTGGCTTCCGCAGACATCTGAGGCTGTCACCTCCCCTTCTGGATTCAGGACAACCTGTTGCTCATCGCAGCGTTGGGACCCCAAACGACAAGTACTACTTTCCCGATCCCGGCTTTGGATCCTTTTTTCTTGTGATCGCCTTACCCATCAACACCGCTCATTAATCAATAACTCCTAGCTTTGATGTCAGTACACCTGTACTTCCTCCTCAATCCCTCCCCCACTAGCCCACACCCCTCCTGCCTGTGGACCTGCTCACAAGCCCCCCCCAAGCCAGGCCCCCTCGCGATGCAACCACTCCTGTGGGAGTCTCAAGGTAGATGGTCCTTAGACCTAAAGGCTGTGCCAGCACAAGGGCACAGCGGGTTGTTATTTTCTATCTCGCAGCGTGAGCAGAGTCTATGGTGTAAAACCACTTGAAACACTATGGAGACGGACATAGACATACATCTGTGACTGTCATGGCCATGTCATCGCTCTATGCACTCGAAAAGCCGCGGGCCCAGGCACTAAGCGTTTCAAGCAGATCGTTTACTTTTGGCTGAAAGCATTGTGTACAGATTTTGGTCTCCTTGGAAAAGGATCGTGCGAAGCTGTGGGCTCACATTGCCGGCCGAAGGTCAGGGGGTCCCTGTGGATCCCGGTACTTCTGGCCCTTAGACTTAGACCTAAATTGCTAAAGGCTTTGCCAGCACAGAAGCACAGCAGGTTGCTTCTCTAGACGCGAAGTGTTGACAGCAACAGTCGCACAAGCGTTTTGTAGGACACGGACACTAGCACGTCCTACTACCTACAGACTGATCGTGTGGAAACATAAAATGGACCCCGACTCAGAAAGCTTACTTTTATATCTTATGTGGCGATTTTGGGCCCTGGACTCGGGACTCCGAATCAGACAAGAGGATGGCACAGATCCACAATGATGTTGGGTACCAGGTTTCGAGCAGCGAACGTGCTGCCACTTCTCAGACCACTGGGCCAAGACTAAACGATGAGGCGCGGGCCTATTGGACAACCCCTTCTGGCCAAGACACCACGCGACCCGTCTCCGCGTTGTCAGCAAAGTCAAAGTGGGCAACATAAACGTCACCCGCAGCACTGACCTGCGTGTGCGAGCCCAAGAAAACAAACGGAACCAAAGCAACGATCTACAGTACCTCCTCCCTCCCCTCTCTTGCCCGGGCTTAGCCGGGCTTCGACACGAGGGAACGGTCCCAGAATCAGTTCCTGACAGGTGCCTGACTCCACCACAAGCCGCACTCATCCGACTGCCCTCCAACGAGCTGGTTCTTCTCTCCCTCCCTTGACACTCCCTTGTTCGTCTATGGCGGGCAGGGTTGGGGCGCACCGCCAAGGCTGTGGGGCCGAAGCGTCCGGAGAGCTGGGCGAAGACGCTGCAATGGAAGACCTGCGGCCTCGGTTCGGTCCAAACCCTCCTCAACAGAAACGGGTGAGGAGAGCCTGCTCAGTCCGCGACGGATGCTGTGTGAACCGGAGAATGCCTTGGTTCAGGAAGAAGCATGGAGCCTGCCACATGCCGCTATGATTGCATCACGGTCACGGTTCATGGCCATCTCTGCCACCTCAGCCAAAGCCGGTCTCTTGCAAGAGCAGTAAAGCCACAACGAGCGCTGAGCAGCAAGCATAGATGTTTTTCTCATCCGGCGACAATGCTACGCCGCAGGGATGCGCAAGGGTGTTGAGGCACAGCGGAATCAACCTGACGCTTGCTTTCAGTTATGTCGGCGGGTCACAGTCGGCACCTGCTTGGGGCACGGCAGCTGCGTTGAAGGGCTGATTGCAAAGACAGAGCCCCGAGGGTTCTGCAAGGAGGTCTCACCAAAGGGCCTCGGTTCTCGCTGCGGCCGCCATTGTGACAGCCTCTTTCGAGGCAAGAAAGGCCCCCCGGCCCGCTGTCGGTGAAGTACAGCATCCCTGTCCTCGGCGCTTTTCGGCGCCCCTTTTCAGGGACTCGCCCGGTAGACTCAAAAGGCTCAGAGTCGAGCTGTCGTGACAGGCAGAGAGAGTTGGGCCTCGGTACATAATTGGCATAGGCAGATCGCAACCCATCGCAACACCGAGGCTGGATTCTGTGAAGCTGGCCCCAGGAACTGAGACTGCTCGTACCTCATAGTAGGATGACGCTGCAACTGCTCACAACGACATATGATGCTCGGCGATGCTCGACACGCTGCAAGCCGCACTCCTTGACATAGGGATCAATTTGGTGGGCGAAGGTGCCACCTTCTCTCTCCACCTCACAGCACAAAAGCCGGGAGCGCCAGGTGCCCTTGCATGCCCTTCTCCCGCGTCAGCTGGGCTGCTGGCACGCAGGATCCGAAAGATGGCTTGGTGCGCCGCATCGCACACGAAAGCCACGCCCTTGCACGGCCGAAAAAATCTCAGTCTAAGCGCTGCGCGGGGAGTTTTCTCCCGGTCTGCCCCGAGCCTGGCTGTCAAAGTCGATGCCCATCGGCTGCCCCGAGGAATTTCCCCAAGCCTCCATCTGAAACCTGCGAGGCTCCATGGCGCTCCCTCCAGGAAAAGGGCTATCCAAAGGCTGAGGTGTCCACTCGCCGTCGTAGCCTTCGGGAGTCGAGTAGCGAAAGATGTCGCCGGAGGTGGACACCGCGAAGAGGTCACCCGACCTCAAAGGCAAAGGCTCCCTCCCGGCACGAAAACTGTCAACGGCATGTGCTGAGTGCAGCTCGGTCCGAAGGTCGGCGATGTGACTGGATACTCATTGCCGATGACCTGGCTCCCAGGAAACTCTACCACCAACTGCCCTCTGTGACTCGAGGGGCGGGCCTGAAGGTCAACCGACATTGCTTCTGTGCAAGGCTTTGCCTTGCATCTCGTCTCAGACAGGTCTGAAAAATCAACACCGTGCACGAAGTACGAAGTACCGGTCCCGTGCGAAATTGCTGAGCCATTGACCTGCTCACAGAAGGCGCCCCCAAGCTTGGGCTTCCGAACTTGAGCAGAACATGCCGCAGGGATCATCTGATGGCCAAATCGTGCTTGCATGAACTTCGGGAAATGGAGACAGCAGCAAGCAATAGCCACCGTTTTCAAACGGATGAACCAACGATAAGGACCACTGCACCCACCAGCATGCTCGCAGCACGAAGCTTAAAATTAAAGGTCTAGCACTCTTGCAAGCGCCGAGGTTGGATGCCTGTGCAGGATCAGATTTCAGCTTTAAAGCCTGGTTCAGCTCATGCTGCTAGCCTTTAGCCCTGCGAAGTGAAACGCATTTTTCCCGGACGTCGGCAGCTGCCAGACCATGCCCACTCCTGGAATGAGGCTCCAAGCGGGTTTTCGCTGCTTGGGCTTCTCCCGGCCTCTGCCGGCGGCCTCTGCGGCCTCTGCGTCCTCGTCCTTCGTGTCTCGCCTGGCTTTGCACAAGACCCGCCCCGGCTTTGGAGAGATGGGCCGCGCCTCGAGCTGTGCGTGGAAGGTGGGCCGTCATCGTGTCTTCAGAAATCCGAAGATCGAGGACCTGAGACTGAGTCAAGAGAGACTGGGGGGGGGACCATGCTCATGCCTGATCCGGGGCACTTCTTCCTCATACCCATCACAGAAAAAGGCATCAGAATGAAGACCTTGGATGTGAGCAACATGAGGTTCGTCAACTCGGAGCTCTGAGCCTCGAGCGATGATGAGGACAGCACCGAAAAGCCACGGCCTAGAGTTGCAGGATTCCCCCAGCTTCTGACTCCCCCGTGGTGTCTGAGGCCCGGGCCCAGTCTGCACCTCTGGGATTGCCTGCGTCTGCGGCTCCGCTGGCGCGGCGGACGCCACCGTGGTCTCTGCGTCCATGGAGCTATGAAGCGAGCTCGGAAACGAAGGGTTTCTGGCAGTTCGTCTAAGGCTAAGGGTCTTTTCTTGAGTATCGAAGGGGTGACTTCACTGCTGCATGCTCAGGGCACGCCCGCTGCGGACTAGCTCGATAAGGTGGAGCTCGGTGCATCTTCCAGGTTCGAAGAAAGTCCTGAGCTAAGTCAACAGCTAGTCTCGGTGAGTGCCCGAATGATGCTCATGAACCTACATGCTGCAGTCCGGGGGTGTTAAAGCCGAGTGCTGTGCCGTCGTAGATGGCAACTGTAACCACTGCAACTTTATCATCTCCTCACCCAGACCAAGTTGGAAGAACATGTCCTGGCATCTTCCTGCTAGCGCATGGATAACTGTCCAGTGATTGGGGCTGCCAGAACGTCAGCCAAAGATCTTACGCCCTGGGCACCCTGGACCGCCAGTGCTCTTCGCTTCCGTGTCCTTTTTGTGCCTCTGGGCTTGTGACGATAACGCGTGGGCCCTTGCCCTTGCATGCGGCAAGTTGCTCACGAACATGGCATCACCGCATTCTGAACGCGTCGAGATCATGGAGGGCTTGGCGCTAGCCTGACACGCAAGGAGCGCCGAAAGCGCCCTGCACCGGGAGCCTCTTGGCATGAACCTCTCCGTGCGGAGCTTTGTGACAGGGAGCCGCGCCGACCCGACCTCGGCTCAGAAACCAACGAGCTCTGCCGCAGGACTCCGCTGCAAACTTTGCCGACTCGGATCGTTACTGTCCACGTCTGTCGCGCGACAGGCTGGGCTCGCGGTCGCGCGATGCGCTGGGCCTGTCGAAACTGAGCTGCTTTCCGCCGTGCATTCTGCTTTTTGCCCTTCGGCGTTGTATCCGAGGCTGGGGCCCTCGGAGCATGGCACCTGCACATCAAAGAACATGCGATCCCCACGAACGCCCGAGCATGGAGGGATTTCCCAGCTGACAAACGAGCCTCTTTCTGGTGGCAATTAGTTAAGAAAGCAAAATCTTAGCCTCTCTGTCCATGGTTTTTTGACTAATTTACGTGTAGCGACCAACTGGCTAAAGTAGTACGTCTATATACGTCTATCACATGAGCTTGCCGAAGACAATCAGGTGCAGGGCAGCTCACAACCTGCCTGCTTTGTTTGGTCTGAAGGAGAGAGCTTTGGGCTAAAAAGTGTAGGTAAACATGGCAAGCAGAGTGGGATGCAGTTAGCATTCACCTTTCAGAGACTACCCCCGCTCACTGGCCCTCAGATCGTCTTGCTGTGGGATCTCGGCGTTGCCGGTGTGGCCGGTGTGATGCCGTGCCGGGAGATCCCGCAGGGTTGCAGACTCCAGGCCCTGCTCATCCCAAGAGGACAACATCTCCGCTGCGATGGGTCCCGCCTCTGTCGGTCGTTTGGAAGGTCGTCCCCTACTTGGCCCTCCACCAACAAGGGTGGGTGGCAAGTTGACGGGCGCGCATGTGCATCAGCGTAAGTTGCCGGTTCTCGTGCTAGGAAGGGCATCACCTTTCCAAGAGCTCCTGCGCCCGAAGCATCCCTCCTTCCATGTGGTGCTCCTGAACCAGGCACAGATGGCTGAGGTTCTCCATCAGGACGAGGCGCCGTGCTTGATGTTGCTCCGGCTGTGTTGAAGCGGCTGGGGGTCCCCGGGGCTGTTCCCCGTGCCTATTTCATCCTGATTGCCCGTCCAACTGATGGATGTCTGGGAGGTAGGCGGCTCTTCTTGCCAAGTTATCCAGCAGGTTTCGAGTGGATGGGGTTCATCTTCTGGTATGGTTGGTGGCAGTGATGGCGACGGGCGGTCTTGGTTGGGTCCGCGCTGGGAGACTTGCCTGCACTTGCTGATGGGCCCCGGTTGTGGGATTCGTTGGGAGCATGGGTGGAGGTCTCCCGGGTTGCTCCCCGCACCGCAGGTGGCTGAAAGAGCTGAGACGCGTCCAACTTCTGGCGCGCGCCCTGGAAGGCACCGACAATCTCGCTGGGCAAGCTGTGATGGAGTAACTGTTCAAGGACGTCGCATAGTGCGGCGAAGGCCCAAGCTTCAACTCCTGGTGGGTGGCTAGAGAAGTTGGGGGCCGGGCCGCTGGACGGGGCAGCGCGGTGGCGGATTTTCAAGGAGTCTCCCGAGCCCGTCCACTTCAAGGCGAAAAAAAGTCTCCTGTCGACATCGTCCACTCCACTGGGGGTTTGCCCCATCTGCTTCCACCAACCAATACCTCAAGGGTCCTCAGCACAGCCAGAGGGGCTAGTACTCGCTGCCCCCCCACCCCCCGTGCAGGTTCCCGCACTGGGGAATTAAGTGCTGGATGATGCCACAAGCCTTCTAACCACCAACCACGGACCACGAACACTAACACCCCCAAGCTGCCTCGAAGACGCAGGCCTACAGGCGGCACTGTTCTTACAACTCCAAGCCTCAGCTGGCCGCCATTCGCGACGATTTCCCCCGCGTCAAGAATCTAAGAAAGGGAAAGGCAGCTCCCCAGAATAACTTTGTAGGTGTTCTGCGAAAGCCGAGCCAGGCTGGAACGAAGGCTAAAATACTGGCTTCAGCCCTAAGAGACGCATGGGTGACTTGACTAGTGTATGTGGCAAGCCTCCCAGCGGCTCCAAACTTCACATCTTCCATGTCAACGTGTTAAACAAAGGAAAAGCTCGTCGCACGCGTACCCCGCATGAGCACAAAGCTGATCCTACACGAAAGCACATAGCCAACCATAAAGCTGCAAGTATCTGGGATGCCCGACCACAAAATGCGTAACCTTCTCGACGACTCTCTCTCTCTCTCTCTCGGCCCGGGCCGGCCTCGGGGAACGTCGTTGGGAATCGCCCCGGAAGTCGGCGTGCTTGGCCTCGCTAACATCCGCGTCCGATCTCGTCTTGCTCTCTGTTTCAGGGGCCCCCCGCTTCGCTGGCCGCGGTGGAGCCTGTCAGGGCTGTCAGGGGCAGCGGGTCTCTATCCCATCCACCTCGGCTCCCCTCACCAGAAAGAGAATCAAAGAGGGGAGTCTTTTCTTCCTGTTCCGCCGAGCAGTCGCAGAAGGCGAAGGCTGCTGCCCGTTCCGCTGCTCCCCTCGCTGCTGTCGTTGGCGCCGAGTCCTTGGAGAGGCCGTGGAGCCGCTGCCCGCGGAGTGGAGACAGCGCGGCCATGCGGAGACCGCGGAGGACGGCGGGTATCAGCTGGTGTCGGGCTGCTTCGGGCGCCAGATCACCAGTGTCACCACTCGCTCTCTGGAAGTCGACCTGTGTCGCGCAGGCCGGCTGCATACTTTGGCAGCCCATCACCTCGGCATTTTGTGCTGCACTCTCGCAAACAGGGACCGAGGGGACTTGGGGGCACGGCGTACATCCATGACCCGATCGTCGTAGTGGAGATGATGCCTGGGCCTCAGCCTGCAGGGGAAGCGGAGGGGGGGGACTGCACCTGTGGCAATCGACGCCTTTAAGTTTCCTTCTTGGCTGAATGCGCCTCGGAATCGGCCCTGCGCTTTCGCCCTCTTGGCCCCTCCAGCAGGCGAGCAAGACCAGTGGCAAAGCGACGAGCTTCCCTGCAGGAAGCGCCGACGAAGAAAGCGCAGGCCCTACTGGCAGCAGGGCACCGTGGCACCCCCACCTCCTTGCAGGGTGCCGCGCACAGGGGCGAAGCAGGAGCCGCAGCGGCTGCGCTCCACGCCTCAAAACGCGAAGGCCCCGCCACCGCCCGGTCCGAGTCTCCGGGTCCCAGGCCTTTGGAGGTACGCAGCGCTGCGAGGCTGGCCCCGGGCTGAAGCTCCAAGGAGACCTCGAAGTTTTTGAGGGGGTCCAGGGCCCCGTGGGCTGCCTGGACTTTTTTGGGGCCCTGACCTGGTCCTCTTGGAAAAGGGCTTGGCATGAGAAGGGTGCTCCGGAGAGGCGTCTGCAAACAGAGCAGTGGCAGTAGCCTCGGGCCGGGGCCAGGGGGCCCACAATGAGAGAAAGAGTCTTGAGAAGCTAGACATCATCTAAACACAAACCGACAACACAGCCCTTACAGCTGGAGGTGACTTCGGATGGCGCTAGTCAGATCTCGTCAGCCAATTTGTTCCACGTCTTGCTCTTCTGCATTCTCGTTGGCTTCTTTCTCTGGAATGTGTTCACAACAATTGTCTGCAACCATGTCTCCCCCTCTTCTGTGCCTTTCGCGGCCTTCTACGATTTGGCAAGCATAGCTTGGAGTAAGCCGAGTTGCTGATGGCCCGTGCCTCCCCCCGGCATCGAACGCGCACCTCGCCACCTGGGCTTGCAACTGAGCTGTCAGCTCCCTTCAGACCTCCAGCGCCGGGTGGCAGTAGCAGGCCCCCTCGTAGAGGGCTCCCTCACGAGAGCAAAGCCGCGATGGGTCTTTCTGATGCATCAAAAAGACCGTCGCCTGTGCGACCCAGCCGTTCTGCGTTTCGACCATCGGCTCGGGCTTTTCAGCGGCTGCCTCGGTCCTGGCACGAGTCGCTACGATTCGCTACGAAACCAACCCGATCGCTCTGCTTCGTCGCTGCCTTTCAGTGGCGAGCAGCACCAGCTCGGCATTCGCGGCGGCATCCACACTCGGACCTCGACTTCAAAAAATCGGTCAGAGAGCTTCAGTTGGGGCGCTCAGGCCGTGGCAGTCGACGTCGATTCGCTTTAAGCATTCGCTCTGCCTGGCCCAGTTGACGTAGAGCTTGTCGTAGTAGTCTAACATCATTGCGGCCACCTGCACAAGCAAGGGTGGCCTTTGGGGCACAACTTTCCGCAGCAACAGCAAAGGCACCTCCTCCCAACGTCCTTCATCCAACATCTGCAGTGCCTCCTTCGAGCAGAGGCACGGCCTGTGTGACAGCAAACGCCGCACGCCACCGTGAAGTCCTTGACTCGTTGACCGCCCAACTTCTTGGCCAAACCTCCAGAGATACCTCAAGCTTTGAACGGCGGTCTCGCAACTACATACATGCAACACACCGCTGAGCCGAGGCGCACTGCTTCAGCTCTTCCCTGCCACAGTCTTTCAGCTTTGCCTCGGTACAATAGTCTTCCACCAACCTGCAATCAGTCCGGAGGAATAGTTTGCTATGATTGGAAGGATGCCACCGACCTCTGTACCCGCAAGCATTGCTCCATAGAGAGAATGAGCATGGCACCTCAGCACGAGGCACACCAGGCACCCTTTCACCGGCTATGCATCCGAGGGCTTGCACTGGGCTTCGTAAGCCAGGAAAGGATGCCAGGCGGGACAAGTACCTGAGCAATGGACCCAGTCGAGCGAAGCAGCCGCGGGTTATTTTTTGCATGAGAAACAAGACTAGCAGGTTCTTGATGAATTGGTGCGTTTGTCTTCCTTTCATTCGCGGGTTCGCTAGTTTCTCAGCGCCGGAGCGGGCCTTGCCGACGTGTCTGGACTCGTGCTCGAGCCAGAGCCGCGCGCCAGGCTTCACGCGGCGCACGGCGAAGGCGAGGATGTTCTCGTAGGCCTCTCTCGGAGGCGCAGCAGAACGCCGAGCCCCTCAGGCGACCTGCGCTCTGTTTTTGTCAGCTTGCCCGGGCCTCATTGCTAGGCTGCCCGGACTGGCCAATAGCACCTGACGTGTTTTCAAGCAACTTATGGAAGCTCTCTGCAAGCACCGAGTCTGGGGCCGAACGCAGAGCCACGATGGTTGGCCAATCCCTGAAAAGGCAGAAGGAGGACATGCCACTGCACAGTTTGGCTGGTTTACATGGCCTCCAGATCGAGCACCTGCTCACCTCGCCGCCGGAGCTCCAACAGCACCGCGGTCTTGCCCACGCCGGTGCAGCCACCCAGCACCAACACCTCGAAGAGTCCGTTCGAACGAAAGTGCATCACGAATCATCACGAATGCAAAATCGCAAAAGCGAGGTCCCCGATTGCTTTGAAGCATGAATGAATTCTGCAATCGAAGCCATCGCCTTTTTCCCAAGACAAATGCAAGTTGCCGGTGCCGGCGGTGGCGCGTGCTCGTTCCCTACCGTTGCCTTGCCTCAGTCGAGCTGAATTCGCCTTCTTCATGGACAACATCACCCCTTTGTCTTTCTCCGGGGTCAGGACACCATCGCCTGAACGCGCGGTAGCCACCTTTGCTGGGCAAACTGCCGAAAACAACTGCAAGCTGCATCTTGCTCGACCTCTTGTATCTCTGAAACTTAAGGCGGCCAGACATGCAGGTTGCATCAGAACAAATCCGTAAATCTTCATGCAAGAGGCATTTGAGCCGGCGTCAAACTTATTTGTTTATGCAAGCTTCATCCTGAAATTAAGGCGTTACTTATCGTTTTACAGGGTTTGCAACTTCAAGCATCTTGGAACAAACGATACCCTGCTTTGGAGTACGTAGTGAGATACAGTATGGAACATGCGGCATTGCGGGGCATAGCCTTGGGTTGGGGCTGTTGGGGCCTTTTGAGGTCCTCGGACACTTTGGGCTTTTGAGCTTTCTCTGCATGGCATTTCGATTGGGCGCGCATCCTCGTGCGGTCACAAAAAAAAACTGGTCTCGGAGAGCAGGTTTTTTGCTTCTATGGATTAAAAAGGTACAGACTTAGAGATATTTGGAGTCTTCCGTTTTGGGGCTGTCTGACTTCTGGTCCGGGCAATAGTACTGAGACAATACATGGACCATCGAGGCGCCAAGACGAAAGCTTCACCGAAGGCTACCGTTAGACCGAAGAGACAGAGGAGAGCAAATTTGAGTTGGAACTCAAGCTGGAGGCCATCAAAGTAAAGCGCTTGCAGCTCGAAGCTGGTCCTTCAAAGCAGGATGGGTGCAATAACCCAGGTCACTAAAACTGGATGTGCGGGAGTAACTCAAGCGGGGAGGAGTCCCCCCCGGACGGCTTGCACCCCGACGAGGCCAGGCTAAGTGAACAGAATTTTGTCGCGAACTAGTCGTTATGAGCACGTAGTTGCAAAGTAGTTAGAAAGCACCTAGAAGTTGCTTGCTGCTGCAGCGAACTGGACTGCATATTGTTGAGAGAGACATAGCGACGCGCGCTTGGTGCCATGTCTGGCTTTCCGCCGACCCTTGCTTTTTCCTTTTGTCATTGTCATGTCGTTCTGTTCTGTCTTGTTTCTCGTGTCCCCTGTCCTTCATCGCCTGTCGCCGGTCTGATTCTCTCTTGTCCTGTCCCTTGTCCCCCTGTCCCCCTGTCCCCCGTACCCCTTGCAAAAGATATTCTTTATTGTGACACCTCAGACACAGATGCTGGTTTTCTGCGGAGTTTGTGATCTCGAGCAGCCAGGGGGGAAAAGAGCTTGTTGCCATTCAGAATTCGACGGGTACGGAGGCAATCAGAAAACATATTCGAAAACGGACCGGGCGATATCGGAAAACTCCGGACCAAATCAGAAAACAAAACCGGAAAACGGACAGCCGAAATCAGGAAAACGGACGCACAAAAATCAGAAAACCAGACAGACAGTATCAGAAAACACGACGGACCGGATGAGAAAATAGGGCGGTCGAAATCAGGAAACAAGACAGACGAAGGCAAAAAGAGCCACTGCAATGGCGTGACGGGCTAACTCTCGTGAGAAATCACATATTGTTGCAGACCACAAGCGCCCGAGTGGTGAAAGGAACGCGTCCTTCCTTCACGTTTAGGTTTGTGGCCAAAACCGAGGGGTGAAAGGAGCGCTGCCTTCCTTCACCTCTCGGTTTGTGCCCAAAACCGAGGGGTGAAAGAACTGCTTCCTTCCTTCACCCACCTTTCGGTTTGTGGCGAAAACAGAGGGGTGAAATCACCGCGGCCTTTCTTCACCTCTTCGTTTGTGGCCAAAACAGATGGGTGCAGGGAGCTCGGCCTTCCTTCACCACTCGGTTTGTGGCCAAAACCGCGGGATGAAAGGAGCGCGGCCCTCCTTCACCTCTCGACTTGGAGGGGTGGAAGGAGCGCGGCCTTCCTTCACCTTTCCGTTTGTAGGCAAAACCGAAAGGTGAAGGGACCCGCGGCCTTCCTTCACCTCTCGGTTGGTGGGCAAAACCGAGGGGTGAAAGGAGCGCGGCCTTCCTTCACCTCTCGGTTTGTGGCCCAAACCGAGGGATGAAAGGAGCGCGGCCTGCCTTCACCACTCGAGAAGGGTGGAAGGACCGCGGCCTTCCTTCACCTCTCCATTTGGGCCAAAACCGAAGGGAGAAAGGAGCGCGGCCTTCCTTCACCTCTCCGTTTGTGGGCAAAACGGAAAGGTGAAGGGATCGCGGCCTTCCTTCACCTCTCGGTTTGTGGCCAAAACTGGAGGGGTGAAAGGACTGCGGCCTTCCTTCACCTCTCGGTTTGTGGCCAAAACCGAGGGGTGAAAGGAAACCGGCCTTACTTCAGCTCGCGGTTTGTGGCCAAAACCGAGGGGTGCAAGGACGCGGCCTTCCTTCACCTTTCGGTTTCTAGCCAAAACCGAGGGATGAAAGGACTGCGGCCTTCCTTCACCTTTCGCTTTGTGGCCAAAACCGAGGGGTGAAAGGAGCGCGGCCTTCCTTCACCTCTCGGTTTGTGGCCAAAACAGAAGGGTGAAAGGCGCGCGGCCTTCCTTCACCTCCCGGTTTGTGGGCAAAACAGGGGGGTGGTTACG